ACCCGAACCTGAGGTCTTAAAATCCTGCTATCTGAAAACAGGTCTCGGCAAACCCGGACCTAAGGTCTTAAAATCCTACTATCTAAAATCAGGTTACTCCGAACCCGAACCTGAGGTCTTAAAATCCTGCTATCTGAAAACAGGTCTCGGCAAACCCGGACCTAAGGTCTTAAAATCCTACTATCTAAAATCAGGTTACTCTGAACCCCGAACCTGAGGTCTTAAAATCCTGCTATCTGAAAACAGGTCTCGGCAAACCCGGACCTAAGATCTTAAATCCTATTACCTAAAATCAGGTCACGATGAACCTGAACCTGGTGTCTTGAGGTCCCACAATCTGACTTCAGGTCGCGTTTAACCCGAACCTGAAATCTCAAAAGACATCGAAGCTAAATGTCGACAAACATAAGCTTCGGTATCGAGGTCCTGAAATTCTCAACAATCCAAAGGCTCCGAAATGTGACATGGACGAATTCAGGTCTTTAGAGAACCCAAGGTTTCGAAACCATTAACTCAAAGTATGGCTAATCTCGAATAAGAATAGGTCACGACAAATCTCAAGGCTTTGTGCAGGAAGGCAACGTAACCTATCCTAAAATTCTTTGTTCGGAGAAATAAAGAATCACATTTAGAAACTCGAATCTATGCTAAGGGATTCGTTGAAAAGAGAGATAAGATGTTCATTAATCGAATGACTTAAGAAAAACCAGGATAGAATAAGGGTTTAAAAGCCTCCCCAGGCTACTTAAATTCAAAGATCCTAAACGCAGCAAAGGTTTAAAGACCTCCTCAGGTCACAAGTCTTAAACAAAAGAAACAAAGCAGATAAAAAGTCTGGGAAACCATAAAGACATAACGTAAAAAGATAAAGAGGAAGACATCTAGGCTTCCATATCATCAGCATCCTTCCCATCATCTTTTTCTTCCTCATCTGCAACCGGCTCCTTAGCCAAAGGTCCATCACCCGCATCTTTCTCAATACCACCTACGGCTGTCTCGACTGGGGCTGAAGCCAGATTTACCAGACCTAAATTAGAACCATATTCTCCGGAAAAGGAAAGATTAAACGTGTTGATCTCAAAAGTACCTGAGCCCTCTGAAAACTGAGGAAGGGATAACTTGCTTACTGAGAAGTCTGACACCTGAGCCCTCTCGTACGCAGCGGTAGCTTCAGGGATCAACATCATCAACCGCTGATGCTCTTCGTCAACACTCTTGATCTCATTTGACAGCATTTCCTCGAGAAGAACAACGTTAGCCTGAAGCTCCTGAGCATAAATCTGGAGGCTAACTTCTTCTTTCTTCCTGGCAAACTTCTCCTTAACAGAAGTCAAGATTTTGTTATAGGCATCAGCTACCTCTTTCTTCCCCTGACGAATAGCTAGCTTCACCTCAGCCTCCTTATTCTTCTGGCTAACCTGCGCCGAAGTAACCAGCTCTCGGACTTGTTGCTCAGCAATTCTCTTGGCAGCCTCCAACTCGGCTATCCTTCTTCCCTTCACTTGGAGGTCGATAACCTGACTCTCGATCTTCCCAGCCTGAATGTCAGCTTTCGATCCGAGCCTTTCTACCACACTCTCGAGCTCAGCAACCTTAGCTCGAGATTGATCGAGCTCTTCCTTAGTAGCCTTTACCATTTCGGTCACCTGAGCTAATTCCCCTGCTCGGGGAGCATTGTTGATCGAGTCCTCCAAACTCAATTGGACTCGGTTGATGGCCCCGGCTAGCTGAAAATAAAACAAACCAGCTGTCAGCCGACTAATTTACCAAAAGAAACGGATGAAATAATTTTTGAGATTTCTCACCTGACCCATGTAATGAGCGACCTCCACGTACTCATCTCGATTAGTCATATTGTTAATCGCAGGGAGAGAACAGCCAGTCCTCTTCATATGCCTCATCAAGGTGGCTAAACCCCAAGAATCCTCCAAGACAGAGCCGGGTTTCGAGTGGGTAAAGTTCCATCCCACGGTCCCTCCTCTCGAAGAGGAAGAGGAAGACCTAGACGGTCTATCCACTTGGTCAACCCGGGATCTCTTAGGTCTGGGAGGCTCAATCTCGGAAGACTCCTTGATCACTTGAAGGTCGGTTTCCTTGGTCTGCGCATCGAGTTTGGGGGCAACCTCCTGAGCCTTCGAGGCGTCAACAGCAGCAGCGTCCTTGATCACAAGGGAAGCTCCATCATCAAGAACATCCCTCACCTGATTGAGAAAGGATCCTCCTTGGTTCTTCTCACTTCCTCGAGAGGAGCTGGCACCTTTGATGGCTTTTCCACGGGAACGGAAAGACGGTTGAAGAGGCATCTTAGCTTGCTGGGTCTTCTCGGTCTCGGAAGTACTAGCTTCTGTTGAAATAGACACGACCGAGGTACCTTCGGAAACTGAATATAAAAAAAAAAACTTGTTCAAAAACAAACGGATCTGAATGTAAAGCCACTACATTTGGAAAGAAAGACAGAACCAACTCACTTTCTAATCCTGCAGCTGGGATAGGATCCAAAAAGGAGGCTCCGTATCGTTCGGGAAACCTGGCTGCTCCTATGCGTGAAGTAGTGAAAGCTCCCCACGTACAAGGACTTTGCTTCAGTTTACGATACAAAGCTCTAGTAAGCTTGTTGGTAAGCTTGTCAGGTTCTTCGATATCTGTCAAGAAGAATCAACGATTAGCGAGATATGTGGAAGAGAAGTAAACCACACAAAGACATCCCTAGAAGACCCTAACCAGAAGCATCAGACCATGAAACCCTTAAGGTACGACCCACGGGGACCGTCAAAGGGTCGACCTTAACATAAAAGTATTTCTTCCTCCAGTCGTCATCACTGCCGGAAAATTTAAAGAGGCCCAGCTTGGGTCGGCAAGGTAAATAGTAGGTACCGCTACCACCATCTTTTGAGGCACTCTCTTTGATGGTATAGAGGCTCATTAGATCACGGAGTCCAACGGTAACCCCCTCTTCCTTAGCTCTGGTGATAAAACCATTAATCACTCGGATGACCGAGGGACAGAGCTGAGAGAGAGCTAGCTGGTAATGATCGAGAAGATCTAGTAGGAGATCTGGAAGCGGAAACCTGAGATGACATTTGGTGATGTACTTCTCATGGACACAGAACCACCCTTCCGGAGCAGTCTCCGGAGTCTCGTCGGGTTTACAGGCCTTGGCTAAATCTTTCTGGCCTACAGCCTGAACCATCAGATTAACAACCTCTTGACTCCTCAGCAAAGAGGGCACGTGAGATCCGAAAGGGGTGCTCCCACCTGAGCCATCGTTCTTCTTCGTCCTCTTGGAGACTCGTAAAGCGATCGAGTCCCTACCCTTCTTGCTCGCTTCGCCTTTTTTCATCTTCTCACCGATTTCTAGCTTAACCTTCATAAGCTGAGCACCGGAGGGAGGAAGTTCAGTTTCTCCGGTACCTTCCTTATCTTTCGTCATGATAGCAAACGGAAGAAAGCAAAAAAAAAAAAGGGCAAAGAAATCGAAGAAAAGTTCGAATGAAAACTTTTTGAACTATTGATTCCTAGAAATATTAACTGGGATAAATATAACGACAGTAAATTGAAGGAGAAAGTGAACAGTTACCTGGGGAATTAAATCGAGACGTGGGGTGGTGGAGAAACAGCGCAGTTAATAAACCGCAGCTTTATATCACGTCCTGCCTCGAAAATCGGGATTGAAACTATTCAAAATATATTAATCCCTACCGTTGATTAGACCAAACAAAATCCAAACCGTGGAATTAAGGTCACGCGAATCTTCGAGTGTAATCATTATCTCGAAGAACAAGAGGTTAGGCGTTTACGTCGTAGCTTCCGAGAAAAGAGATCTTATCTCGGAAGCTGGGGGCAACTGTTGGGCCCGAATTTAGCCCGCTAACTGAATTGATGGGCTGGATATTTCAAACTACCTATCGGACATTACGAGCCCATTAGAAAGCCTTTCCCAAATAAGAATTAAGTTGAATCGTTACCTATCAACAGAAACAGGTCACGAACAAAAGACTCGGGACCTCGTTCACAAACAGCTGGCGATAAAACAGCTCCAGGAGAACGAGCAAGACTCAGTCAAGAGGAAGTTGTTGCGAATCCCGCAGCTCATGGAGGAAATCTCGGAGGCTTCGCCAGAAGGAGTTGGACGTGACCTAGAGCTATAAAGAGATAAAGAGATCAGAGAGAGGGGGCGATTCATCCAAGATCAAAAGACTCTAAATACACTTTGTTCTTAACTATTTTTCTATCGATCATCATTCATTCTACTAGATCATAAAGATCATCCTTGTAAACTCTTTTATCATCAAAATTAATATAAGCAGCGTATTCATTCATACAAGTTCCAACAGGATTCAGCCCACGATTATCTTTTCCCAATCTATACCTAACCTAAAATTAGGAAGTGAGTTTTACCCCTCACACATATCATATCATTATATCATATAGTTTGACTAACTAATGTATCTAGCAACCTATAAAAATCCAATGTGGACTTATTTATTTTTTTAATTGAATCTAATTGATTACCTAATTAAAGGACACCTATGCATTGGGGCCTCTTTTAATTAATACAAAATTGAAGTTACATCTTTTCAAATGTTCCTCAATTAATATATAAGGGATGTGTAATCAGGCAGACAAGAGAGAACCCCAGAAGGATCTGGAATCAGCACTCCTCCACACAAAACTTAAACCCTTCGTCTCTCTTTCTCTTCATTCTAATTTTCCAAAACAATCAGAAATTGCTCCTTATCGCTCTCTATATTTCTTTCTTCTGAGAGATTCATCTGTTGTTGAAGAAGGTTTGAGAAAAAAAAAAAGGTAAATCTCCATGACTCGACTGTTTTTTTTCTTATTTTTCTTTTCCTCTTTACAACGCAGATTCTTGTTTTGTTTTTTTTTTTATGATTTTTTTACAAAGATTCTTCTTTTTTTTTTTTATTTAATCACGAACATTTGTTGTCTCTATTATAGTCTCTCCTTTGTTAAATAATAGTTTTCCTATTTGGATATATATGTGCGGGTTTGCGAAAATGGGGTTTTGTTATGAAGACTTGTCCTAGGGTTTGATGTTCCTTCTCGCCTCATGCTAATCTCTTAGCCGAGATTAGATTTTGCTTCTAACTTCTTTTTTTGTTAGAGACTAAGAAGTGTTGCTTTTTG